ACGAGCTGATGCCAGATGGTGTGTGGGTGGCTGTCTTCCTGGCTCCAGGGTTCGAATCTGGCCTCCAGGTTTAATTTGCCGTGTGATTTTTGAGTGTGACTCAGCCTCTCTGGTTTCTGCTTGTCTCACCTAACACAGAAGATGACACCAGTTGCCTTCTGGGGCTCAGGACTATTCTTGTCCACGTTCGTGAATCTTCTGGCATAAAGCAGTTCCTCAAGAAACGTTAGTTATGTATCTCCCCAGCCCCCAACCCCATCAGGCACTCCCTCTTTCAAAACCTCTGAATCCTTTCTTCTCCCCAGTGTGTCGGTGTCTAATAATAATTTTAAGGTTATCCCCTCTGGGGAAATTTTAGCAGAGATCTATTAAAAAAAAAAGTGGAGTGCTAAAGGTAGAGTTTCTGCCAACAGCTGAGGATGAGAAGATATCTCGTGTGTCAGGCGGACGGTGGAAGGGGTCAGAGGAGGGGAGAATGAAGGCTGTTGAACCTTTACAGGTGGCTCCTCGGTCTTGGTAGCACGTGAGAAGCACCCAGTGTTGGAGAAGCTGTTGCAGTCTTGAGCTGGGGGCGGTTGGATTGAATTTTCCAGATGAAAACGAAGCCTGAGGAACAGGAATTCCAAGAACCTGAGTCACAAGAAGGGGAGGAGTCAGGCTGGGAAGCTGCTGACAACACATTCACGTGACCGCAAAAAAGTTTCAACAGATTATCAGGGTGGATGAGGGAGCCTTTGAACCTGCCCCTTGGACCTTGTGCTCATCCACCCCAGGCGAGGCTATTTACTCCTGACCTACTTCCAGAAATTGTCTTTTCTAAGGCCAGGGGGGTTCTCGGAGATCACCCAGCCCCGCGTGCCATTCTATGGGCAGTAAACAATGCTCAGAGAAGAGGAGGTTGGCGGCCAGGCACTCGTGTAGGAACTGGCGGCTTCTCTGACCAGTGCCTGGGAGAAGAGCTCTCTGGCAACATTTGTTTCTAACACTGACTGGCCCTTTGAATGAGATCAGCCCAAAACGTTTAGAGAGAAAGACATGAACCATCAAAGCTGTTGTCCCTCATACACCCAAGGATGGTGTCCAGGTCTACGGGGCAAGGATGTCGGGGAATGAAGCAACAGGCCTGTCAAAGCAGATCGGTTGTGGTTGATTTTTCTTTTCGCTAAACGTTGCCTTATTGCTGCTCTAGGGCTGTTTGCAAAATAAACCTTGGGGAAAGAATCGTTGGAGTGGAGAACTTACGTGATTCCCTCCACCTCAGGTTCGCCCATTGTCTTGGTTTTCTGTTGCTGCCAATAACAAACTAACGAAGTAAGCGCCTTAGAACAACACAAATTTATTATCTTATAGTTCCATGGGTTAGAAATACGTCTGGAGGAAGTGGGGGTGGGTGGCACCCACTGGGTTAAAATCAAGGCGCAGGCAGGGCTGTGTTCCTTTCTGGAGGCTCTAGGAGGGAATCCGTTTCCTAGCCTTTTCCAGCTTCTAGAAGCTGCCTGCATCCCTTGACTTGTGGCCCCTTCCTTAACCTTCAAGACCAGCAGCGTTGCATTTATCTGATCATTCTTCTGTTGTCACGTCTCTTTGACTACGGCCAGGAAATCTCCAGTTTAAAGAATGTATGTAATTACACTGGGCAAACATGGATAATTCAGGATACTCTCTCCACCTCAATAGCTTCAACCTAATCACATCTGCGAAGGCTCTTTTACCATGTAAGGTAATATATATTCACAGATGCCAGGGATTGGGGTTGGACATCTTTGGGGGCCATTGTTCTGCCTATGTATTCTTCTTTTCTCCTCAGTGGTCTCTCTAAAAAATACATTTCACTTCTCTGCAGAAAAGAACATATTCACTGTCATGGGGAATATGGCTAAACCAGAATTTTTTCAAGGATTTTAAATCTTTTTATTTTTAATTCTATTTTACATTCTGCATATATACAGAAAAGTCCATAACTCAAAAAGTTGCAGTCTGATTTTTAGAAACTGACCACGCCAATGTAAATCAGCACTCAGATCAAGAAACAGAACGTGCCCTGGGACCCCAGAAGCCCTGCTCGTGCCAACTTCAAGTCCAAAATATTATTCAACATTTGTTGACATTAAAAAATTTCCTGGAACTTCCCTGGTGGTCCAGTGCTTAAAAATCCGCCTTCCAATGCAGGGGACGCGGGTTCGATCCCTGGTCGGGGAACTAAGATCCCAAGTGCCGCAGGGCAACTAAGCCTGTGTGCCGCAACTACTGAGCCCACACGCTCTGGAGCCCTCGCACAATAACTGGAGAGCCTGCATGCCACAACGAAAGATCCGGAGTGTGCAGCTAAGACCCGACACAGCCAATTAAATAAACCAACAAACAAACAAATAAATAAATATTTAAAAAAATTCCTATGTGGGCAATACTTGGAGTATGATTGAATGAAAAGGAAAGAGCCCAAGCACTGTTCATTTATTCATTCAACGAATATTTTCTGGCACCTGTCCTGGGCTGGATGCCAGGGAAAATGGGATGCGTTGATTCGATGAGGGTCCTCTGGCACAGAATCTATGGAGGTAACTCTGTGTGTGTGTGTGTGTGTGTGTGTGTGTGTGTGTGTGTGTGTTGGGGGGTGTGGGGAGGGAGTTTGTGAAAGAGATAAGAATACAAATGCATCGACCAGCCCTAACCAGAAGGCTTCCCAGGGAAAGTGGGTCCCGAAGATGAACACAGCCGAGGAGAAGAAAGGATTTCCAGCAAGGGGGAGAGCACAAGCATAGGGGTGGCAGTGGGGCAGGCAGGGTCATGGTGGAGTTTGGGGAAACAAAGAGAGAGATGACCCCTGGAATTGCCAGCCTCTGGGCCCTTGCTCAGCCATTCCCATTTCCCATTTTACCAGCCCGAATCCCAGCTGTCCGGACTCAGAACCAGAGGCCATAGCCCTCAGGCCAGCGTCTTCATTTCACAGATGCAGAAGCAGGCCCAGAGGAGAACATACACACACTGCTGGTCATTGGCTTCATTACTTCTCTCACTCCACACTTCTCTACAGAGCCTCCCAACCCCTACCCTCCCCTGTGCCTGGTGCTGGGGACACAGAGGTGTCAGGCTCCGGCCCTGCCCTGAGGCACGCAAGGCCTGGTGGCACAAAACAAGCCATGAGGCCTGAAACACGATCCAGACCACCCATTTCTTCCTCCAGGGCAGTTGCCATACCCCACAGTCCCTTACTGCCTATTCCACTTCCCCCGCTTCCCTATCAGGCCTCTCATTCATTCTTCATTTGCACATCCCGCATGTATTTACTGGGCATCTACTTCGTGCAGGGCAATGTTCCAGGCACAGGGAACACAGCTGTGCGGAAGACAGGCCCCTTCCTCAGTGGGGAAATCAGACAACGAACAGAACACAGAGCTATATAATGGGATGTCACCGGAGGTAAGTGCTGCGCTGTGAAGAAAAATAAAGCAGGGTAAAGGGCTAGAGGAGAGGGAAGCTGGTGTTTTAGGTAAGGTGGTCAGGGCAGGCTCTTAGAGGAGGTGACTCTGGGACCCAAAGGAAATGAGGAAGCGTGTGTGACAAGGATGGGGGAGAAGGGAAGGGGGTGGGGCCTGGAGACAGGCCCCTCCTTGATGGGTCTGTGGACGGAGGCTAGTGTGACTGCAGGGGGATGTCCTTGGCCATTTAGCTAGTTGGGAAATCTCAGCACTCTCCCTCCATTTGCATCTCCCAGGTCCTTAGAAATGGGCCACGGGGGCTGAGGTCTGGGAAGGGCCTCTAGCTGCCTCTCACCTAGATCTTCCTCTCTCAGTGGAGGCCAGCACGCGGATGGATGCCCACTGGACCTTGACCTTCATCAGGAGCATGTGGCCAGCTGACCTCATACCTCTCCACGCCTCAACACCCTCATACTTAGTTAACACTCGGAGCGAGACCCCATCGTACAGCTGAGGAAACAGGCTCAGAGCCTTTCTCAACGCCCTGCACTGCGCCAGGCGGAGGAGTCTGGGGGCAGGAGAGGCTCTGCCACCGTCCCCCCATGAGACCTCTTTATGGCGGAGGGTGACCTCTTTCTGGGTTCTGAAGAGGAAGTTCCCAGGGGAAACCGGTCCTGACAACTTGACTGAGGAGAAACGGAGGGTGGCAATGGGGAAGGCAGGGGACAAAGTCAGTCTCTCGCGGGGCGAGGCGGGGCGGGGGCGGGGGGTACGGCCCGGAAGGGGCGATGGGAGGAGCTCAGAGACGCCAAACTGCCCGAGGGCGTACAGGGGCTGAGGTCGGTCTTGGGGAGGGCCTTGCAGGGAGGGCCTGGAGAAAGTGGGCGCAGGGGTGGAGGGGCCGGCGAAGGCCGAGGCGGGATCCCGAGAGCCATTTGAGGAAAAGCTTGGCCGGAGTCGGAGGTCACCGGAGGCTAGACGCTTGGGGCGGGGCGGGGCGGGGCCGGAGCGGACCGGGCGTTGGAGGATGGGGAAGGGAGCCAGCCCGGTAGGTCCGCGGCGGGAGGTCAGAGGAGGGCGGCCCGGGGCGTGGCCTTGGGCGGGTCTGGGGTGGGGCCTGACGCGCAAGGGGCGGGGTCTAGCTGATCGGGGTCGTGGTCTTGAGGGCGGTGGCGGGACCTGGATGGCTGGGGTGTGGCCTGAGGGCGGGCAGCTACCGGGGGCGGGGTCCGGATGGCCTGGGGGCGGGGCGGGCGAGGCGGGGCGGGGCAGGCGGCGGCCTGGAGGCGGGCGGGCTCTGTCGGCAACGCGGAGGTGCGCTCGCCTCACTGGGCTCGGCAGGAGGCGGAGGCGGCGGCGGAGGCGGCGGCGGAGGCGGCGGCGGAGGCGGCGGCGGGGGCGGTGACGCGCACAAAGGCGGATTGTGGCTTCACTGGTGCTCGCGGCGGGCGGCGCCGGGGCGGGGGCGGCGGGGCGCGCCGGGGGCCCCCGCGGGTGCGGCGCAGGCGATGAGCCGGGGCCCGGCATGGCCTCCGCGCGGCCGCCGGGCCGGGCCTGCGCCTCGGCACCCGCGCCCGCGGGGCTCCGGGCCGGGCCGCCCGCCCTCCCCGCCGCCGCCGCTGCCGCCGCCGCCTCCCCGGAGCCTGCGGGCGGCGCGGAGGCCGAGGAGCGCTCGCTGCAGCACATGCTGCGCGCCATAGCCGAGGAGCGCGGCCGCCTCAGCCTGCGCCGCGAGGTCTGCGGCCTCGGTGAGTGGGGTCGGTCGGGGTCGAGGCCGGGGCCGCCGCGTCGTCGGGGTGTGCGCGCCTCTGGGTGTCTCTGCGCGTCTCTGTCTCTGCGTGTGTCTCTGGGGCTCCCTGCGTGTCGCATCCCCCTCACGCCCCCGGCTCCCCGCGTCCGGCTGTTTCCTGTGCCTCCGCGTCTCCGTCTCTGATTTTGGTCCCAAGAGCGGTCCGGCACGCTCTCGTCCCTGTGTGTCTGTCTCCCGGGTCACTCGGCGTCTCCCTCTGTCTGTCCATCCGGGCGTCTGCCCGTCTCCCTCCTTCCCCTCCGTGGCTCCGACAGGCCTCTTCCTTCTCCAAGAAGCCCTCCCCGGGGCCTCAGTGCCGCTGCAGGGAGTGCGGGCGCTGGATCTGGGGAGACCCGGAGCCCGACATGGCAGGGCCGGGGCCCCGTGGGCTCCGGGCAGACCTCCCTGCCAGCTGCCCCGGCCACCGTCCCAGCTCGCCGGGAGGGCAGGTCTCCGGCGTCCTGAAGCCTTTGTCTTCCCGTACCGCTCTCTCTGCACATTGGCTCTAACTGGGGACCTGTTGGACCGTCGCCCCATGAACCCACCCGCTTGGCAGCGGGAGCGGGGCCGGCCGCCTCTCTGGGTGTGATGCTGCTCTAAGGAGGCCCTAAGTCCTAGATGGGCCGGTGACGTGGGGTGGAGGTGCCCCGTGTGGTTTGAGAGAGCCTGGGGCTCCAGGTGTAGGTGGGGTCTTACGGCATGGCTGGGCGTGAAGTGATGGCTACTGACGATCGTGTTCAGACTAAAGCCCGAGGAGGCCGTTTTCTCTCTGAAAAGACCCCTCCCTTCTTCCTGCGGGAATGACTTCATACCACGTTCTCAGCCACCCCCCAGCCCCACCCTCGTCCCCAGTCTGGGCTGGGGCTGTCTGAGGGGGCGACAGCATTTTGTGGAGAAGGGAATGTCAACCTTGGAGATTCTGCCAGACCCACTCCCTTTCATTCACCATTGGGGAAACGGAGTCCCAAAGAGCCAGCGCATCCCCACCTAAGGTCACAAGGCATTCCAGGCCCCTCAGCAGGCCACACCCTGGAGGCTGGAAGACGAGAGGAAATAAATTTGCGGCCTCCTTTTTTGCAGGAGGCGGACTTGGTACAAGATACTTCCCCTCAGCAGGTCTCAGCCCAGCCTGCCCTGGAACAAAGCTTTCCTCAAGCATGGGGGTGGGGGTAGGGTGTCTACAAGCCGGGGTGGACAAGGACAGAGGTTCTTTGGTCTCTTCTGAAAAGGTGTCACTAATTAGTTTCGAGCAGAAATGGAAGGGTCCTCATTCGTTCATTCAGCACATGTTCATTGAGCACCTACTGTGTGCCCGGCTGCATGCCCGCCTGGCAGGCCGCCTGTCACCTGGCACAGAGTGTCTGAGAGGGGAGGGGTCGGAGGGACCATTGCTCAGGCCCCTCAGCCCTGTTTGCTCAGCAGCTCCGGGCACCCCTCCTCACTCCCCTGTCAACACGGTCCTACTGTCCTCTGAGCATCTCTCTGCCCTGTTAGACAGTCCCTGCCCCCAGCAGCCTGCACTGCCACCCCCTAAGAACAATAATTTGCTGTAGCACCTGGCATTTCCTGGGTACTCAGTGTGTGCCAGGTGCTTTACGCAGGCTCTGTCAATTCGATACTGACCTTGCCAGATACAGGAACATTATCTCCACTTCACCGATGTGGAGCCTGAAGTTCAGAGAGGCAAGACACTAGCCCAGGGACAGCCTGCGAGGAAGTTGTATAGCTGGGATTGACCCCTGGTCAGTGGGACCCAGTGCCTGTCCCCGCAAATGTCCCAACCAGGCCTTGCCGCACCTACTGCGCTGCGTCTGGGGAGGGGACCTGCCCATAGTAGGCCAAGAGCACAGCCTGGTGGTTGCTCTATTGCTGCGTCTCCCCTCCTGCCTCTAGTCCCCCCTCACGCACAAGCTCTTCCCATCTTACCACCCCCAGCCTCTCAGAACTCAGTCCCTGTAGTGCTCTGATGCGCTGCACTTTTATTTCTGCTCTTTTCTGCGCCTGGAAAGCTACCTCATACTTAACCTGCCCTGCAAGCACGTGCAGGTCTCCCTTCAGGCCTCAGAGCTAATGCTGCCACCCGGGGACCCTTCCTCCGCCCCCTGTCCTGCTGCCTGTGCTCTCTTTGTACCGGGTTCGTGTCCGGTGGACGAACGGACGACTGTGGCACTGTGATGGTCTGTGTGGCTGTCTCCCCAGTTAGCAGGTGACCCCCCCCCCCCCCCCACACGCACAGGGCATTGCCCAAGTCTGAGTCTCCTCAGTGCCCAGCATGGGGCCCATGCAGAGCAGAGCCCCAGGGCACACTCAGCAAATGAATGAGAGGATTACTTTCTGGGCTGGGGAATGAAGGGTGTGGATGGGCAAGGAAGTTGGAAAATTAAAGTCTTAGAAGGGCTCACGTTGCCCGTCTCTTTCATTTTTCAGATGAGAAGAAATGTGATGTTCAGAGAGGGACAAGCTAAACAGTGACTTCACGCCCAAAGTAGAGTTAGGACAGAATGATTGGCCCGAGCACCCAGGTGTGAGCCCAGAACACCCTCCCCAAAGCACTTTCACCATGTCACCTGCTCATCTCCACTTTGCAGCTGGGACAACCTGTTCCATTTATGAATTAACTTAAACCTCCCAGATTTTTGTTGTTGTTGTTTAATTAAAGCTTAGGTTGTTCAGAGCTAACCTCAGGTTGTTTTGAAGGTATAAGGGAGCCTCTGGGGGAGACGCTTGACCCTGGACAATCTGTTGTCATTTCTTTTATTTATTTATTTATTTATTTGGCTGCGCAGGGTCTCAGTTGTGGCATGTGGGATCTAGTTCCGTGACCCAGGGATTGAACCCGGGCCCCCTGCATTGGGAGCACAGAGTCTTAGCCACTGGACCACCAGGGAAATCCCTCTTTTTTTAAAAAATAAATTTATTTATTTATATATTTATTTTTGGCTCCGTTGGCTCTCTGTTGCTGTGCGTGGGCTTTCTTTAGTTGCGGCGAGCGGGGGCTACTCTTGGTTGCAGTGCACGGGCTTCTCATTGCGGTGGCTTCTCTTGTTGCGGAGCACGGGCTCTAGGCGCACGGGCTTCAGTAGTTGTGGCATGCGGGCTCAGTAGTTGTGGCTCGCGGGCTCTAGAGTGCAGGCTCAGTAGTTGTGGCGCACGGGCTTAGTTGCTCCGCGGCATGTGGGATCTTCCCGAACCAGGGCTTGAACCCGTGTCCCCTGCACTGGCAGGCAGATTCTTAACCACTGCGCCACCAGGGAAGTCCCGCTGTTATCATTTAAGTCACGGTGTCTGTCTATGAGATGAGAGAAAGCGACTACCCCCTTCTCCCTGCCCGCATTGTCTCTTGGTTGTATGATGAAAAGTACCTTGGAGATCCAAACCTGATTTTTGAATCTGTCTACTGCGGCCTCTGCAGTAGAAGCATTTTTTTGAGGACTTGCTCCATGCCAGGTGGGGGGATCAGCCTTGATCCGTGCTGCGTGGGGTGTGGGTGCAGTTGAGTGGGGGGAGAGAGCCAGATACACAGGTGACTTGGCTGAAGTAAAAATCCTGCTGGAAGCAGCCAGGGCTGTGCAGGATTTTGAGCAGGATTTTGGTGTTTTATCCACAGGAAACTGCCTGTGATTCCAGGTAACAGGTGAGCCAGGCTGATGGCTGAGGCGGCCTGAGCGGGGCTCCAGAATCTCTGAGTTGGGAAGAATCGGGTGGTCCAATGCCCAAATGTTGTGTGATGCAGATGTCTGTACCAAAGGTGGAGATAGCCTGCCTGACACTTCCTCCTGGGGCTTGGGCCTTCTAATGGGCTCTGGACATCAGCGCATGCATGCTGTGTGGGCAGGCTCCCTTCAACAGGGGCAGCACACCCCTGGCCTTTGGTCAAGTCACGTGGACACGACTCGGGTCTGAGTGGCGGAGGGGTGCTGTGAGTGGAGGGGCCTTCCCCGTGCTGCTTGTCTTTGGGCCCTGCCTAGGCTGAGCGTTTTATTTGATTTTATTTTTTCAATTTATTTTACTGTATTGTTTTTTCCCATGGCCGTGGATGGCTTGCGGAATCTTAGTTCCCCGACTGGGGATTGAACCCGTGCCCTCAGCAGTGAGAGTGCGAAGTCCTAACCACTGGACTGCCAGGGAAGTCCCCAAGGCTGAGCATTTTAGAGCTGTTTATTCTTGGGCCCTCGCCCCCTTTTAGGTGGCCTGGGGAATTTTCTCTCTGGAGTGCTGTGGGACAAAAGGAGTGTTTCACATTCACCATTTCCTTTTATCGTCAAAATAATCCTTTAAGGTAGGTATCATTAAACTGCTCTCTTTGTCCTGGTGAAGAAGCACAGGGTTAGAGGTGAAGTAACATGCCCCAGTCCCATGGCCAGTAAGTGGCAGAATCTGTCTGGGCTCTTAGCAGGGGTGAAGCCCTCACACCTGTCCTCGGGTGCGTGTGGCCTGGCCACCATAGGTGTGCTCAGCTGCCTGGCACGAGGTGGGCTGAGGAAGGGCCCAAGTCGAGGTGTGAGGGGTTGTGAGGGGCACAGAGAAGGGAGCCACCTTGGCCGACCAGCGGGGTTCGTGCAGGCGTGGCCTTTGAGAGGGGGTTAGGGTGGGCAGGACTTGCCTGGAGGAGCGGGGAGGCTTGAAGCCTGGCTGTGGGAGTTGAGGCTGGAGCGGTGTTTGGGGCTCTGAGTGCCCGGCTGGGACTTTGGTGTTCACTTGGCCTGGCCTTCAGCAGCTCGGCGGGTGTTTGACTCGTGGACCGGCCAGCACTGGAGAGGCCGTTAGCACGAGGGATGCTGCTCACGTGCCGTGTGCCAGCCCCGCTGGACCTGCAGCAGCACCTCCTATGGAGGCAGGTTCTGTTAAAAGCCCATTTTGCAGATGAGGAAACGAAGCTTCAGAGGGGAAAGTGACTCACCCAAGGTCACGTAGCTGGGAGGTAGCAGAACTGGGGTTCCTGGGGTTCCAGCCGAGGCA